CAAGGCTGTCAATCTTCACAGAAGCAAAGCCCAAACCACACCCACTGCTGTGGAGTTGATTCTGACCCACAGCGCCCCTAGAGGACAGAGTGGAACTGCCCCACAGGGTCTCCAAGGCTGCCATCTTTATGGAAGCCGAATGCCTCATCTTTCTCTCACAGAGTGGTTGGAAGGTTCAAACTGCTGACCATTTGATTAACAGCTGTATGCTTTAATCATTATGCCACCAGAACTCATGTTTACCCTGAGAAGATGAAACAACTGTTGGTTTTAATTTTCTTCTTTGTGCTGACTCATATCTTAAAAAATTTCTAAAGTAAACGTACCTTGCTTTTGTCAAACAAAAAAAAAAGAAAAAGTCTTTGAAGGATGTGCTGAGCTAACATGCACGCTCACATTGCTGCTCTATGGCGGTGCCGACAGTCAACGTACATGCCAAGTACAAGCAGATGGACGTGATCGCCACACAGAGGAAAGGTGCTGCCCCACCCAGTCTGCCTGCAGTTCACAGCAGGGCCTCCCGCACAGTGAGCTCTCCCGTTCCCCTGCATCAAACGCTGCCCAATGGCTGTGCAGACGCCCTGGAGCATGGCCCAACATACTCATGGCACGTGAAGGTCAAACCCCTCTTTCTGAACAGAACCCTTGAAGACATTTTCATTGGTCACATATGTAAAATGTATTCAACAACAGAATCCTGTACTGGGACAAATGACTTTTCCTAACATTCTGCTTCCAACACTTTGCCATGGTTTTCTCCAGGGATGGCTTTCTGTCCACATGGCTGGTCTGACGTCCACCAAGAACGCGGCATGGTAGGCTGAGTAGCCCCACCCCCAAAGATGTCCACATCCTGATGCCCCGTGAATCCCAGGAGTGTGATTATGTGTGGGTTACCTCACATGGTGTTAAGGATGAACTGTGACCTCTGAAAATGTGTGTTGGAACCCCAAGCTCTAGACTAGTGGGTATAATCCCATTTGGGAATAGGATTTTCTTTGTTATACTCATCAGGCCGTAACAGTAGAGGATGGGTCCTAAACCTTGTCATATCTCAGTCATAAGGAGCAGAAGGACCAAGCAAGTAGACATAGGGGAAGAGAGACCCACATGAAGATCACCAAGGAACTGAAGGACACTGGGGCAATGAGGAGCTGAGACGAGAGCAAAGTCCAGACCACACCCACTGTCGTGGAGTC